AATGTGAAGTTGGCAGGCAGAGACGGACCCGAACAGAACCTGCATGCAGAGTTCTGACCTCAGAGCTTCCTCTCAGATCAGAGCCGGGAATCGCACCCGCAACCAAGAAACAAAACAGGAATAAAAAGACTGAGACAAACTTTAAATCTGTTCAAAACGGGAATTCACTGAAAATGTACGGAGGGAAATTTGTTCCATTATTGTTGAAAGCAAGAAATTCATTTTGTTAATGAAATTTAAAAAAAAAGAAAAAAAAAGAAAGAAAAATGCAGTTAATATGCGATCATTTGTCAAACCTCTCAGCTTGATTTCTCAAATGTTGTTTTTCATATTATATGTTTTTAAATCTTTTTTTTTTAATGTACCCCGCACCAACAATTTTTATTCATTTTTTAATAGATTTTAAAATTTTTAACTTTTTTTTCAAATGGATTTTTACAAATCACATCCTCTTTGATCTATAAAAATGTAATCTGAACAGAGTGTAATTTGTCAAATTTAATCAGAAAAACAGAAATCTGAAAAATCATAAAATACATTTAAAAAATAACTAAATCTTAGAAAACAAAGCTACTCTCAAAAACTAATTTTGATTAAAATATTTTTCAAAGTTTTAGTTTTGGATTAATTGTTTTTTTTCTCTGATTTTTATTTACAAAACAGTTTTTTTTATTTTTTTTTGCTGCAACAATGAAGGAACAAAATTCCTTCCATAAAAATGAAAGATTTAAATATCTGGTGAATCTGGCAGCAGAAATTCACCTTTTATCCAACTACAGCCTAAAATACGGAGGACCAGAGCCGCCCTAAGTACAAAAAAAAGGAAAAATTATGTAATTAATTCAGTTAATCTAGACAGAAATGATTCAGTTTATTAGTATTCTCAAATGCAATCAATACAGAGATATGTATAATTAAAATAAAATAATTGTGATTATTTAATTCATTTAGTGGGCGGGGCCATTAGGGCAGCTTCAAGATAATTGGTCTATTTAAGAGTCACGTTTGTTAGAATAAACAATTAGAGTAAACTGTCATAATTAAGTCATTTATAATTAATTTTCCTCATATATTTAATTTTTAATTAATTAACTTAATATTTATCTATCATCTTTACATCTTAATATTTTTTAAATAAAAATAAAAATAGACTCTTTTAATCTTATATATTGATGATATTATTGGAACAGGAAGAATAATGATGAACTAATTATAGATTTCTTGGGAAATTGTT